TCATAAACACAATAAGCCCAGCATCAAATGATATTAATTGAACTAACCGTTGACTGACAGTCCTGTGACATTGCGCTTTCAGTACAACTTAGAGCAATTGTAACAAATCAACGTAACGCGTATGAATGGAAACACTGAAAAGGTGAATCAATCAGCACTGAACTGCTTTTGGTACTAACTGGAAAGGGGCATTAGTCTTTATAGTTTAACACAGAGTGAGTTACACTTTAAATACAGGTGGCTGATGTTGTGCTATTACTGAAACTTGCAGTCAACCTGCTTTATTCACAGTAAAATCCAGTGGTGTTCTAGTTTAATTGTTTCACCCAACCTCTCTTCTAATGTTTTTTTTTAAAACAGCCTAATAACCACTAAGACACAGGAAAACAGGAAATGCAAATATACCTCTCTAACGTTTAAACTATTTTCAACATGGTCAAGCCAAAGCAATTTTGGAAAGAAAATTTGTTCTCAAATGAGCCAAACATTTTAAGTTAATTAACCACAAGAAATCCGGGTGAAGTCTTAAAAATCTAACAAGAATGTGTAACTATCAAGCATGGTGGTGGTAGCATCATGCTGTTGGCCTTTATTGGTGCTGAGCTTCAGTCCTCTTCGCTCATTAATAAAGAGAATTACTCAAACACATCAGCACTGGTGTTAGAATGGGGAAAAAGTGTTATTTAAGAGGTAAAAGGGAGTTTTCTGATGATGCTGCCACCTGTGGCCAAAACACAGAACTGCAGCTCTCTTAAGCTCTTTCTCGTAGCTCGTACTTTTTTGCTTTTTAATTACGTTGATTTGTCGTTGGTGTCTGAGTTGAACTGGATGTCGGTTGCTTCTGAGTATCCACAAAATCCATCTTGTATATAACGCTTTGGTTGTTGTCTTGGTCAGAGCCATTAAACATGACCGTGCTTGACATCAAATCTGCAGAAACCATGCGGGAACTTCCGACCCAAAGTACATTCAGGGAAAATAGGCTACATGCATAAAGATGCATTGGTCCAGAACTACTGAGGAGTCATTCTGCTCATCAAATGATGTTTTAGTTGTTAATGGCCAAGTAGAAATATATTTTTCTATAAAACCTGGGTGTCCTTTACCCCGAAACATCTCAAAAAAAGTTAGACTTTGCTTCTTAGTCAGTTCCATGCTAAGAAAACAATCAACTAATTCAATTCTTTTATTTACTTTATTTTTACAATGGCAGCTTTTTTTTGTCCAGTAATAGTACCTTGACCTGACCAGTAATCTTTAGTCTCTCATCCTGGGAGAATCAGCTTTTTCTAGCTGATTGCCTTACATGATTGGCTATATAAATTCCTACATTGAAATCGACCACATAAAATGGATAATTAGTCTAACCCCTGTCCACACATCTAATTAATGCAAAATAAGCTTTTTTTTTTCTGATTCTATTATTTCCTTTATTAATGAGACTGATGTCCTACAGTTCCCCCAGTGTTACGCACCTGCAGTGAGTTTGTGGAGCAACATGGGATCGTGGATGGAATCTACCGCTTGTCTGGAGTTTCTTCTAATATCCAGAAACTAAGGTTAGTGTGCTGTATTTGACTGTGTTTACCATAATCTCCTAACAGTCCAGGGAGAAATGTTTCCATGGCTTTCAATATGGTAATTGAAAAAAACACACAAGTACACACTTTCTGCTTTAGTAAGAAATCTGCATATTTAACTGATTATTAAAAGTATTCTGGTGTCTCTAAGCTGTATACCATGATAGGGAGACATCAACAAAGAAGCAATTGGTGCTTCTTATCAACCTGTGCGGGGATAGAGAGCAAATCCTAAACATTCTGAATCCATCACCAGTTAAGACAGCAGCCACTCTTCATAACATTGGATGTCAGAACCAAAAATCACCTAGAATTAGGACTGTGTGATATGAGGAAAATATGCATCATTATAAAATGATTCATATCAACCGATGGGCAGCCAACAAGATGCTGTGGGCGCCACCCAGAGTGTCCCAGATGCTGCAGCCGGGGAGAACAAGCATGACTCCTGAGCCAGGTCAGGCAAACAGATCAGAACAGGAAAGCTCAGAGGTCCAGGAGTTTGAAGACAGTTAAGACAAACCGTTAAGACAGGAACAGGCAGGCTCAGGGGTTGTGAGTCAAAACAGGTCAGGATCGCGTAATCAGAAACGCTCAGCAACGTTAAAAACACTCACCACTGATATCAGACTAGTTCAGCCAGATTTAAATGTTAAGAGGCAGAACAGATCAGAATCAGCAAACCAGAAACACCAAGGAACTCTAAAAACACTCTCACCACTGGCTAGAGAAATCCAGAATAATCTGCCCTGATAGCTGGATGCAAGCAGCTTAAATAGAGACAGGAGCAGGTGTATCAGACGAGCACTAATGAGAAACAGAGTTAGACAGGTGAATGGAATGAGTAATTAAGCCTGTCATCAGTGCAAAGATCATGACAATCGATAATTATTGATTGATTGATTTTTTTGTTTTGTTTTACAAGAAACAAAAAAAGACCAAAAGAAACATAACCTTTAACCTTTAAAAACCTGAGAGCTCTTTCTCAGGTTTCCAGGCCTCAGTTAGGATCTCATTACAGCAGTGGAAGTCATAGCAGGGCAGCTAGAAAGCGCTTTGGTAGCAGTGTCACCATGAGGATGTGCTTTCCCTCTCAATATCGGCCTGCAAGGCTGTGTCTGGGTAAACCACAAATGTCCGGACTAAACTCCTTCACACAGACAAAACTAGAGATGTCTCCTGCTCATATGCATGGCACCACATTTGTAGAAAACTAAACATTGCATACAGTCAAGCACAGTGGCAGAGGAGGCATTATTTTTAGGCAAAGCTCTAATGGGACTGAGCCATCAGAGGAAAAATAATCCTAAATGCTGACATTAAACAAAAACCTAATGGTTAGAAATTTAGAAAAGAAGCAGGTTACTGTTATAATCCCAGTAAAGGTAGACTTCAAATGGACTGAAATGCTCTGGTAGGACCTAAAGAGAGTTGTGCAGAAACCAGTGGTTGCTTTTAAAAGAATAAAAACATTGTTATTAAGGCTCATGAGTCACCATTTCTTAATAATTATTCTATTACCTATTCTATACTGGACAATGTTCTTAGAATGACTGTATTAAATAATGAGTTTATAATGAAATGAATTCTTGTTCCTTGACATCAGGGGTGAGTTTGAGAACGACGGGGCTCCAGATCTGAACAAAGATGTCTACCTGCAGGACATCCACTGCGTCAGCTCTTTGTGTAAAGCCTATTTCAGAGAGCTGCCCAACCCTCTACTCACCTACCAGCTGTATGACAAGTTTGCTGTGAGTATCTCTGACGCCACTTTCTAAACATACATACATGATCATCATTTATCTGTCCATCTGTCTAGAGCTTAAAGCCCAACCTTTTTCCATTTTGAAGAAAATTTCATCTTTCTTTTTTTATCAATCATTTTATCTTATCTGTATATAATGGTCTTATTAAAATTATTCTCTATTATTCTCTTTAATTATTTTGTGTGGCCTCCATGCCACAGCAATGCAGTTTTTTTCTTATGTCTTTCTTATCTGAAATATATAAATATTCACTGCAAAAATGTTCTGAAAATGAATAAAAATCTCTTAAATTAAGTGTATAATCCCTTCATTTCAGTAGGAAAATAAGATGGTTTTCCAATGAAATGATAATATTTACTCTTAAAATAAGATAATTAGATATTATGCACTTGAAATATGAGACTGTTTTATTTCTCTTATTTAGATGTAAATTGTCTTGTTCTGTTGGCAAACTGTCTTAATTACCTCCTCAATAAAAAGAAACAAAAGCACTTATTTTAGGAAAAAATAACTTATTTAAATTAACTTTTTTTGCTGTGTATAAATTAATTTTCCTTATTTTGCCTTTATAATGAGAGATGTTTCATTTACTCATTTGGTCAATCTTGAGAAAACACCATCCATCATTAGTAGCTCCTTACATAAAAGGAAGAAATGTGATATTTCATAAAAATAGGATATATTTTGGCTCTTTATGTCAAACAAATTTTTTTTGTAGGTTGTACATTTCTTTGTACGTTTAAAAACAAATAAAAAGGCTTCTTGCCCAAATTTTTTTTATATATATTTTGTCCTGTAAAAACTATGTTTGCTAACTTTGGAGATTGTAAGACTATAAAAGGAAGTAGTTTGCTAATAAATGCATGTATTCCTGCAGGAGGCAGTGGCCATCCAGCTGGAAGAGGAGCGGCTGATAAAGATCAGGGATGTTCTGAAGGAGCTACCAGAGCCTCATTACAGGTAGAGTCTCCTGCAGCACAGCGAGAGTCTCTAAAGCACAGATCCCTGATATTTATTAGTTTTATAGAAGCTAAATATGGAGAGTATATTAAATAAAGAGTCTAAACCTTTGCAGACTGAGACTGTGTTTTAATTTGCATTTTTGCCAAATTAATTCCAGATACAGAATTAATTTTATTATTTTGATATTTCTGATACATAAAAGGGTTTTGAAAATATTCTAAAATTTGAAAATTTCTAAAATGTTTCTGATTGACTAATCTGTGTTGACAACATTGTTTTTGTTTTGTTTTTTATCTGTTAGGAAATGTTAGAGTTTTCTGGGATCTGTGCTGCAGGCTTCCAGTACAACTGGGGCATTACATTATAGAAATACTGTAGCTAAGCAAAATGATGCTAATGTCTTTGTTCCAGCATATGAATACAATCTTATATACACTTTTCCAGACATTAACACTGAACAATTTCAAGGCTATATTATTGTATAATCTATTTGTAGCCATTTTCCTATGATGCTTATATTAACAAAAAAAATAGTTTTAAACTTTCTGTGTCAAAATTGAAAACTTTAAAAAATATCATTCATTTTAATTGTATAATAGATCTATTAAGAAATGTTTCTATAATATAGTAAAGATTCCATCATTAGTGTTGAAGGTTTATTTTTTAGTAATTTTCTCTTTATAAAAAGATTTCCGGTTTACTAATTAGGCTGAAAAAAAGAGCTGTAGAGGGTTTGTTTGGGCTTCCTGTTTTATTTAGTAGACTTTTTTACGGATCAAATGTTAACCCTTTTAGAAATTATAAAAGGACACCATGCATTCATATTCATAAAGTAATCAGAAAAGACTATAGTTAGCCCTGAGTGATGTGTATAGAGGCCTATATCATTATAGGTGGAGGATTATCGATAAAGGATAATGCTAAATAACTTATTTTGCAGGACTCTGGAGTTTCTGATGCGACATCTGGTCCGGATGGCTTCATATTCCTCAGAGACCAACATGCATGCTCGCAACCTGGCCATCGTCTGGGCCCCCAACCTGCTCAGGTGTGCTACTATGAGGCCCAAGGCTTATCAACACATTCCTCACATTTTTTTTTATTGAAATCTGTTGTATATCAATTCATTTTCCTCCCTTTGCCTAAATCTCTCATGTTTTTCTAAACAAATAACCTTTTTTGTTTTTTCTTGGGGATCTGGAACATAAGGTCGAAGGACATTGAGGCTTCTGGATTCAACGGTACAGCAGCCTTCATGGAAGTTCGAGTCCAGTCCATCGTGGTGGAGTTCATCCTCACTCACGTCCCTCAGCTGTTTCCTCTTGAAGGTCTGAACAAACTCTCCCTCACTTTTCCACTGTCAGACCCATTGCTATATCTCTGCCTTCTCTGTCCTTCAGGTGCACCTGCAGAGAGAAGGAAATCCCTCCCCTCTCCGACAGCGCTACCCAATCAGGACGTCCTGTTCTTCAAGTCCTCGGGTTCTCAGCCTAACTTTGGGAACATCAGTCCTGGAGACGGACCCCTGGCGATCAGACCCTACCATGCAATAATCGAAGGCACAGACAAGTGAGGGCACTGATCTCCAGAGAGTACACACCATGCACATGTTTACACACTGTAGGACTAAACCCATTCAAGGCCGTGTGCATCTAAATTAGTTTCATAGAAAGAGAGGGTGGGGAAATGATAATGATAAAATTTGAACATTTCACATTTAAAGTGTGTTTGCAAATTGTCTTTTTCCTCAGGAGGAAAGGATCGCTTAAAGGCAGGAAATGGATGTCCATTTTTAACATCGGAGGACGATTCCCAGACCCAAGAAAGAAACACAAACATTCCACCAAGGGTATGAAATCCTCTTAGAGACATTTCTTCTCTTCTTCTCATTTTAGAGGTTTACTGAAAAACCTGTTTGTCTAATCCTCTTAAAGATGAACACAAAACTAAATATTTTAATATACATAAACAACCTCCATGTTATCTAACACATGAACATAAAAGGACTTTTGGGGTGGTGATCAAAATAATATTAGAATACATACCAAACTGTAGTGCATGCTTTTAAAGACACTTTTGGGGTTATTTTTTTCCTTTTTAAAAATGTCACTGCTTTTTGTTTTTTCAGAAAAAGACAGAACGCCTTTAAGACCTGCAAGAAGCATGGACTCGCTCAGCACGCCGTCCTATCCCAACGAAGGTGCTATGCTTTGAAATATGTTTTAAAACTTAGACATTTCAGATGAAATATTAACCTTTTGATGCAAAGTTGTTGTTTTTTTTTTTCTAGAAAAAAACATAAATGCTTAGGAGTTGTCTGGTGATGTAGAAAGATGTGGTGATGGTACTATCCGTGCCACATTTTTGTGTTTCATCCACATAATACCAGTGGAAGAGCAAGGGGCGGATTTAGGAAATTTAGGGCCCTAGGCAAAAACAGGCAGGGGGCCCTCTGAATCAAGAAGGCAGAACATAAACAAACCCATTATAGAGATAAAGTTTTTTTTATAAAATAGGCATACATTATTTGTTCTCCCTTTATTCCCTCTCCTCTTGTCCCTTTTCCTGTTGTTTTCCTCTCTATGGTTTTTTTGTCCCTTTTTCTTTTCATATTAACAATGTGTTCAGCTGTCTTTTCATGCTGTCTCTAACTTAGCCCATTCTAACTTAGCTGATTGCTCCTTCCTGTGTTTCCAAAAAGATGACGGCAAAAGTAAATAACCCAGATCTTCTTTTCACTGTAGACAAGCCATGATCTGCTTATCGGTTTTCCATTTTTGATTTGGATGAAATAATAACTGCATGAATCATGACAGCAGACAAGACAGAGGAGAGCAGGAGGCGGGGTTACCAATCTACTTGCTCTGGAGAGCAGAGTTCGCTGCTTTTAGATGTTGTCTCCAAAGTCTCCAGTAGCAGAAAAAAGTCGCTATATTTGGCGCTAGGCACTTTTTTGTAACAAAAGCACTAGAGGGGTCTGAAAAGTCGCTAAATTGGCAACACTGCTCTTCCCATTGTTTGTTTTCAAATGGTTTGCTGCTGTCCATTGGACGTTTCCGAACATGTGCAGCAAATGGACTGATCCATTGTGACGGACACTGAAGGGGGGGCTGAGACACACTTAATATTATAAGCTTCCTGATGGCATTTTACCAAAAGGATTTTTATTAAAAACATAATTAATGTGCACAAATAAGGAATATCTGTATTAACCATACATGTAAACTTTGTTTTATGGGGCCCCCAGTAACTTGGGGGCCCTAGGCAACTGCCTAGTTTTGCCTTATGGTAAATCAGCCCCTGGGAAGACATTTGTTTTCACAGCTATCAGAAGAATATATGCTGGCCTCTATTGTAAAGTAAAAAAAAATGAAAAAAACAACACATAGAATAATAAAAACCTATATAGTAGAGCAGCAATACAACAAAACAAAACTATTTGCATTTATCCCCCAAACTGCAGTGTGGATTATGTTACCTTAATCTGAAAGCTAATCTACTGAGGAAGCTGAACAGAAACCAAACATGTTCCCTATGAAACGCTGCAGAGAAACTGGCAGCTTTTATTTACTGAAAATCTCTTGAGACCTACAGTAGCTCCTCATTTACAAAACAGAAATCAAAAGTGTTTATAAATCTGTATTGAGAAAATAACAGTGGAAACATTTTAAACAGCAGAAGTAGAACCAGAAACAGAAAGTCCAGTGATGCTCAGAGAGAGATGGGTCCTTTACCATAAGGAGAGACGTTAGGGATGTAAACCAGAGCCTTTAACCTGGAATGACTAAAACACTTATAACATTAGCATTTCTTGATTGATTTTTATCTAATTCCTCTGATACATTTGCAAATCCAGACAATAGTGGCTCAATGTCCAACATTTTTTCTCCTGTTTCTTGTATTTCAGGTTCCAGGCGTTCTGGGCCCCGTCCTCCATCCAGCAACATGTCCCCTGCCATCACCTCCTCTCAGCCTCCCTCAGACACCCCAGCATCCGGCGGTGGATTGGGTAGCAGCGAATACGCAGTAACCTACCGCAGAGGGACGGGCTTAGTGAGCGGAGGTGCAGGGACACAGGGTACCTACACAGCTCTGGACCCTGATGGTTTAGTGATACCAGGCAGCGAGGGGATCCATTCCAGGTCCCCAGGACTCTCCAACAAAGCTAGAAGAGCTGCCATGCACATCACAGGCCCCACCCTTGTAACAGTGCCGCTACATATCACCTCTAACCTGGCGTTAGGAGTGCTTCAGGGGGGTGGCGACAGGGTTATCCTCCGTGGAAGAGACAAGGATGGAGGGGATAAGCAGGAAGGCAAGGAGGCAGGGGGGAAGATTGAGATTAAGGAACCCAAAGGAATGGAGTGGAACGTAGAAGCGAGCAAAAATGATGAGCAAAAGGACACGAGTCAAAATGAAAAAGAAGACTTGGACACAGCAGGAAATAAACGGGTAGGAGGAGACTCTGGAGAGGTGAAGGATGAAGGAGTTAAAGAGAAAGGAGACAAGGAGTCAGGAAAAGATGGCAAGCACAAAGAGGAGACACAGATCGGAAACCAGCATGTGGCGAGTGAGAAACCTTCTGAAAGCTCCGTCACAGGGGAAGGTGATCAAGAAGACTTCGCAGACGATGATCAAGGCAGCGAATACATGGGTAATTATCAGCAATTCATATCCATTACTGATTAATATAAATATCAGAGATAAAAGGAGCAGCTGAGGCCTTTAATCAACATTGTTATCATTATCAAACCATCTGTTTCTGTCATGCTTATCCCTGCTGGGGTTGTGAGGGGTGCTGGTTCCTATCTCCAGCTGTCTACTGGCGAGAGGCGGAATCCACCCTGAACAGGTCGTAGGTCCATCGCAGGGCAACACAGAGACAAACACGACAAACAACCATCTACAAACACCTAAGGAGAATTTAGAAAGCCATTTGAGCTAAGAATCGTGTTTTTTGGACTATGGGAGGAAGCCGGTGGCCTCGTGAGACCATCCTGATCTTGCGAGCTTTCAAGGTTTCACTCGCAGATCAGTCTGGAGACTCTATGAAAGTTGGAGCCGTTCACCAAACGAACGTCCAATCAGCGTTGGCTTTGAGGCGGGTTGAGGTGTGACGCAACGAGTATCGCAACAGTTAAGTCTAAAGAACATGGCGGCTTCAGCCGATGAAACTAGCGTTAGCGTGGCTATCGAGCAAGTTTTATCGGAATTACAGAGTATTTCTTCACTGAAAGAAGAGCAAAACACTGCTCTGGAGGCTTTTCTCAGAGGAAAAGATGTTTTTGCTCTTCTCCTGACTGGTTTCGGCAAGAGTAGCCTGGCTTGTTGTTGTGTTTTCGTCGTCGTTCTGTTAGTACGTCATATGCTTTGTTGATCTGATTGGTTTATTTGGCCCGTCTATCACCAACATAGGCCAATCAGCTAACCAGTATTTTCGCCCCTTCCCAAAATTACTTCAACGGAAGGTTTCCAGATGGATATGCGGAGCAAATCCATCTGGCGGAGTCCGGTTAGGAAGCCGGAGTATCCAGAGAGAATCCACACATCCTCAGAGAGAAAATGGAAACTCCATCAGAAAGAACCGGGGCAAGGAATTGAACCCTGAGCAGCCCATTAGTATTATTATTATTATTGAGTATCGTATGGGTCACATAATCACTCAGTAACTTTGTCTTTTTTTGTGCTTTTTAGGTTATTTAAAACATTATGAGTTGAAATAAGACTAACCTGTTTATGTATTTTAGAGCAAACCTCAAACACTCCTCCCTACATCAAAACAGGCTCCTTTACCAAATCAGCAAAGATGAGACTGACAAAAGCAACATAGAAGCTCAGGTTAAAGTCTTCAAATCAACACAGAGATGCAGACATGTCCTTATGTCAAAAAAGGAGGTTAGGTTCATAATTTAAACTGAATTCTATGCAGGAAACCCCATTTTAAAAATGATTAACAAGCTGGGGGCAAGGATATATAAAACATCATAAAAATACAATTCTAACACACACTAAAGGAAACATATGCAAATTAATTTCATTGGAAAATAATAATAACCTTGACTTTAAGCAGAGAGAAATAATTTGGATAATCCTAACTGACTCAACATTAAAAGTTTTGTTTGATTTAATGACAGACAGAGAGAAAAAAAGGTGCTATAACTCAGGGCTGAAAGAATTAATCGTGATTAATCGATTATTGTGATGATCGTCAACTAACCTAGTAATTACTTAATCAATAAATAAAATATAGAGACTGTAAAACATGTTTTTAGCTGACAGAGCAACCCTCTTATAGTAACATCCATCCATCTATCCATTTTCTAGCACGCTTATCCCGAGTGGGGTCGCGAGGGATGCTGGTGCCTTTCTCCAGCAGTCAATGGGCGAGAGGCGGGGTACACCCTGGACAGGTCACCAGTCCATCGCAGTCTTAGTAACAGTTACACCAAAATCGTAAAAAAGTATTTAAAGATTTTGCATTTAACATAAAAATCGTTTTCATCTTTTAGTTTGCTCTGTCCAAAACTCCTCAAGTGGAAAAGTTTTAGTTTGACCTTGTTGAATTCTGTTAAAAATATTCTTAAGGAACCTTTTACTATACGATTATTAACTGACTAATCTAAACAATAATTGATAGATTAATGGATTTGCAAAATAACCGCTAGTTCAGATGGGTTCAGATGTTTTCCTGTATGGGAGTTGAATATAATAACTAATGTTGGCCTAGTGGGTTAGAGCAGAGCGCTTGTGCTCTGAATATGTTGCAAGTACCCGGTTCAATCCCCAAAGCCTCCAATCTCGGTTCATGAGCAAGACTCTTAACCACTGACTGCTCCCTGGGCGCCACACAATGGCAGCCCACTGCTCCCCAAGGGGATGGGTCAAAACACAGAGGACGAATTTCCCCATTGTGGGACAATAAAGGGGTTAACTTTTTTTTTTTTTTACATTTGAGATGACAGTGTTTGTATTAGATCATCATTAAAGATGGGGATCCTGCACATTAACAACACAAAAAGGAGGTGATGCAAAAATAATAACTGTGTTCAGTGTCGATCTCCAAGTAACCGGCTTCCAATAGATTGTATATTTATTTGTAAAAGCTTTTTTATATTTTGGTTTCTCCACACATTGAGCCAGTAAGTTTGACCCTGACTTTACTTTTACAGAAATGAAATTTTCAGAGCAAAGCCATTACCAGGCAGCAGCAGCAGCCTCACTGCATGAAGATGATGGTGAGTCTGAACCTAAAGATTTCCTAAACTCGACTGAAGTAGAGGGAGACGAGGAAGACCAAAAACTGTCGGGCTACGTTCAAGATAACTTTGAATTCCTGGACCTAATGGACCAAATGGATTATAGTGCCATGGACCACATGGACTGCAGCATGTCCTATCAGGTGGGTTGTGTGTGTTTTTTTTTAGGAGGGTTGAAGGTGTAACATATTTGATAAATCGTGCAGTATAAAGGTCCAGCGATTAAGATTTGGAAGTATTTTCCTTTAACCTTTAGGTTAATGAGTTCTCCGTGGAGCCTCCTTGTCACTCTGATGACGAGTATGAAATGATGGCTCATGCTGAACGACCAACCCAGAGTGTAACAGAGTTTAAACCACACAGACCACTCAGCCTGGACCTGCACAGTCGACACACTAAATCCCTCAGTCTGCCCTACATGAAGTCACCCGTCGACGGCCCCGTGGAAAACTCTAGCTCAGATGAAGAGGTTTCGGAAGACGATGGCGATGGAGAAAATTATAGCAGTGAGGAAGATGAGAGCATGTTTGTGAAGAGCCTGCCGTCTGACTTCTTTCTAAACACTCTGTCTGGACTTGAAGACTTTCCCAGTCCTGACAGAGACCTGCTTGATTCGTTACGGGGAGAAGAAGAAAGAAGTTACCAACCACTGGATGTTGAACTTCCTGTTTGTACGGAACCCACTGAGCACGTGCAGGAGAAAGCTGGAAATGATGAAGAAAGACAAGAAACAAAAGAGATGGAACAGAATGAAGTTCACCATGAAGATCAGCTTGAAATGGATACAAAGAGGTAAACAATTATTATTATTTTGCTCATCAATATTTCATTATCAATTACTTCCTAAGCACAGTTTAAACCAGTATATAGTTTTATATTCCAAATGTAGAGGAGAACCAACAAACCGTTATCACTATTGTTGCACCGATACCGATACCACCATTTTAGTGCTGGACCGGGCCCCGCCCAATACTGGTATCGGTGGAACACTAGTTTTAATGCTGACTATACTATGCAGGAAGGCTCTGTATTGTTCTCTCCAGGTTTAAATCTTATGCAGATCTTTGACCTTCTTTTTAATCTGTCATTTCAGCAGAACAATAGAAGACTCTCAGAGAGCTACAGAAGACGGTCCAACTGAAAACTGCCTAGTTTCAGAAACATCAGCAGGCTGCTGTGAGGAGCTCGAGCTGCCGAGAATCCAGGGCAATCAGGAAATCAACAACTTGACTGAAACAGAGTTTGAGAGCGGGAAAGAGGTTCTAGATAAGTCCGAAGATGCTTCTCTTCCTCCAACACAACACCCTGAAAGCTGTGCCATGGAGGATGTTACAGATGAACACAACACGTCTGGACATTCTGCTTCTAGAGAACCAGACTGTGTTGAAGGACCCATCCACAGAGAACACAATGAGGAAGACAATTCAGACAGTAGGACAAACAGTGACATTTGGAGCGAGCTTGAGGATGTTGTATGCGAAGTGATTGAGGATGAGGAGAGCAAACACTCTGAGAGGAATGCTGCTGAAGAGGCAGATGGAGAAAAAGATGGAGAAGCAGAGGAGGAAGGTGAAACGAACAAGACAGAAGATAAAATGGAGGAGGAAGAGGAGCCAAATGTAGGAAAACCTATAGATGAAGCAATGGCGCAGGAGAGAAATGAGCTTGAGCTTAACCAAGGAGTTCTGCATCATGGCGTAGAAGAAGTGGTTTCAGAAGAAACAGAAAAGGAGAAGGAAGACAAGGACAGAGCCGAAAGCAGAACACAACAGAGTGCTGATAAACAGCCGCTGATCTCATCTGATATTAGGGACTCAAAGGAAGGAAGTATGCCTGCGAATGGTGACAGTGGCTTAGGATGTGTTGGGAGGAAGCTGGTCGTCTCCAAGGAGCCTAAGATTTACCAGGTCAAGGCTGTGCCGGTTGTTCCCCCAAAGCCTCAACACTGCAAAATGACTGCTATGACCCTACGCCACCAGCAGCAGCAGAGAGACAGGCGAGACAACACCCTGAAGGTCCCCGCTGAGCAGGAGCGAGAAGGAGAGGGAGACCGGGAGAATGCAGAAAAAAAGGACAGGCCGTCCACACTCAGGGAGAAGAAGAGGGACGCTCTGGAAGGGGGCGTAAGGGATGCAAAGAGGAACAGCCCACTCAGCATGTGCTTCGATGAGGCTGTGGCCATCGCTACCCTGAGGAGAGAGAAAGAACGAGGGCGTGAAGGAGACGCGGACTGAGAGGGACTGGGAAAGTCAAACAGTGAAGGTGGAACTTCATTTTAGGCAACTGTGGGATGCAGCCTCAGATGATGCTGAGAAAACTCTGTGCCCATTTATAAGAGTCCAAGCATCACTGTTGAAAATAACTGCTGGCATTTTTGTCACCATTGTTAATATCTAGTTTTACTGGTTTACAGGCACCATGGTGGCTTTGTTGTCCTTATCTAAAGATAAAATGTAAGGACCAAATTGCCTCTTTGGTTAGGATGTTTAAAAAGCCTCGAAATAAATCCACCATTTGCTTCAGCAGAATGATCTCCCATCAAAAACACTTTCCTCAGTTCAACAGTGGAAAATACTCTCATAAAAAAGGATTTATTTTAAAGGACGATCTCATCCCTGCTCATCCGGCAAACTATCTATTTTATCATTTGGAAATAAACTTCCCGTACTTAACTGATATGTTTCCTTGTCTTTTCCATTTTGAAGAAAAGGTAAGTGTATTTTTAAACCCCAGAAACAAATAAAAATGATGCTACATAACACAATTTTAGCACGTTATGTAAAATGATCTAAAATATGAGAATTTTACCCCACTGAATAAATGTACTCAAATAACATTTTTTTTTTTCAACTTTTCCTTCAATTTCTACTGTGAGATTATATCACTGTTATTAAAGATTAATATCAATGAAGGATTTTTATGCATCTTTACCTGTTTTCTTCTCTTTTGGAGTTTTTTTTTTGCATCTATCAGGTAAAAAATAAATAACAGACGTTTCAAATACATGGATAACAGTTTGTTTTCAATGGTCATGGGATGATCTGGCCAGATTCAGTCATTTATTATTACATTTAGGTGGACATTACATCCTAATGTCAGGATGGTTAATCAGGGCGTTATTAATGAAATGCCTTATGGATTTTATATGTATTCTTTTTTTAAATAACATCAAATAAATGTAAATCTTGAGGTGAAGCAAAGTATTAAGTGCTGCTGTGACATCAAACATCACAAGAATAAACAGCCTTTTTAAGAACTAATATTTTTTTATGTGTGACGATTGTATAAAAAAAGCATTTTACTTTGTTTACCGGCATTTTGATTCTCAAGGTTTGTCTTGGAAATGGCTCTTTGGCAGTTACTGTTTGCACTTATTATAAAAAGGTGGTGTACATAAATAGTTTATCTGAAATGTCTGGTTTAAGGCTGATAAATAAAGAGCATTTTAAATGAATGGAGTGTTAATTTTTGTTTTTATTGGCTTGTTTGAAGAATAATAAATGGGATGGGTTTGTTTTATGCTAGAAGTAATGAAGTGTTTAAAAAAATATATAGCCTAATGAGGAAATAACATTTTGTTTGAGATACTATCAATATTTCAGGAGATCAGCAAAAATGTTAAAACTTGAACCGAGGGGCGTGCAGGTGATGCAGTGGATAGCGCGCATGACCCACGTATGGAAGCCTTAGTCCTCGACGCGGCCGACATGGGTTCGAATCCACCCTGTGGACCTTTGCTGCATGTCCCCCCCTCTCATATGCCCTTTCCTGTCAGCCTACTGTAGAAAAAAAAGATGAGCCACTAGTGCTGTAAAAACTCCAAAAAGAAAAGTTAAACAAAAATATATATCTTTTCAAATGGCCAATGACCTTAATCATGTCTTCAAGTGGCTTAAGGAGACCACATTTTAATATTTAAAGTGGCCACCACCATATTCTGTAGCTGCAATTCNTATATATATATATATATATATATATATATACACACACATCAATTTCAAACAGATGGCATCGGTATGGTACCGGTATCGGCCAATACTGCACAGTCAGGTATCGGGTATCGGTATCGTTGCCAAAAAATGGCATCGGCGCAACACTAGTTATCACCAATCATTAACACATTAATGACCAGTTCTCTGATAAATATGATGAAAGATACAATAAATATTAATGGTGAGGGGGGTGGAAGCGAGAGGGATCTTTAGATTATTACTACTATTACTAGAACCTTCTGGATTAACTGAGATTACCCGGCATGAGCTAGTTTTTCTGTTTTCCTTGTAAATTTCATGTCAGGGTACAGGAACGACATCACATCTGGAGGAATGTGCCATTATTAAATCTGGAAAAACTGTCAGATTTAATAATAGCTGTGGTCCTCCAGCAGACAAATAGCTATTGTAGTTTTTAAGGTTTTCTTGATATAAATGGAATCTTAGCAACATGTGAAGGAAATGCAGAATACTTTCAATATCTGAAACCTTTTCACATGTACACATTATATAGCTTAGTAACATGTTGAAATGGATAACATGTGAACACAGGTGTTTTCACATATTGACCTTTTAATGAATGCTGTCATACCAATTGTTTTACATGTGGAAATTATCCTGCTAGATAACATGTGAAGAGAAACATTTGTTGACATAGTATTACTTATTTACATGAAGACAAAGTGAATTCACATGTGGATCTTATACTATGTAATAACATGTGAACACAAGTGTTTCTCATATGAACATTATGTTGCTTAATATCAAGTTGAAAAAAGTGTTATCACATCACATGTGGACTTAATACTAGTACCATGTAAACAAATGTGTTTCACATATATGGATGTATGATATAGCTTTTTTAACATTTGAGTACAATCTTTTCTGGTGTTGATATCGTACTGCTTAGTAATACATAAAAACTTTATACTACTAGTAACATGTGAACAAAGTATGTTCATATGTGGATATTATAAAGCGAGTGTAGGTCTTTATTTTTCATATGGATATTATATTAATTAGTTAAACGTAAACACAGATGTTGCACATATACTGTAATCATGTTGCTGCTTAATAACATGTGAACAGGTTGTTACATGTGGACATTATATTGCTTAGTTACGTACACACAAGTGTTTCACATATGGCCTATATACTACCTGTACAATGTGAACACATGGTGTGGATATCACACTGCTTAGAAACAGGTGATGATAAGTGTTCCCCATGTGGACTTTATACTAGTAACTTGTAAACAAATTTATTTCACATGTGTATATTACGTAGGTTTTTTTACATTTTAGCACAAGCTTTTCACTTGTGGATATTATCTTTCTTAATAACGTGTCTACATAATAGTTTTGCATGTGGACATTACATTGCTTAGCAACATGTGAACTCAAGTGTGGACTTGACATTACAGTACTAGTTACATGTTAACAAATGTGTTTCACATGTGCATATTACAAAGCTTTTTAACATTGAGAAAAAGCTTTCCACTTCTGAATATCCTACTGTTTAGTAACATGTGACGACAAGGGTTTTACATGTGGATATTATAATTACTAGTAACATGTGAACAATATTCAATTCAGTTGAGTTTATTTATATAGCGCCAATTTACAACACATGTCATCTCAAGGATCTTTACAATTCAACCGAAGTCAATCCCTCACACTAAGCATGCTTGTAGCGACCCTGGAGAGGAAAAACTCCTTTTTAACAGGAAGAAACCTCCAGCAGAACCAGGCTCAGTGTGAGCGGCCATCTGCTGAGGCCAACTGGGGTTCAAGGAGAGAGAAGCAGATATACAGAAAGAAGTAGAGAAACAAAGGCAATAGGACTACACCGAAAAACAGCCCATGCTCCAACATCTACAAAAAAAGTTGTTGATGGTAGCAGCACAGCTGATATTTCCCTCCAGGATGAGGTCACGGCCAAATTGGAACAGACCAGATGAAGCTACTATGAAAAAAAAAAGAGAGAGTATAGGGTTAGAGATTGAACAAACAGATTCTGCAGAGTGGGAGAATTGAAATAGAATGAAGCAGAATGATGAAATGGGGGTCCCTATGTCCTCCAGGAGTCTAAGCCTATATAGCAGCATAACTATAGAGATAGCTCAGATTAACCTGAGCCACCCTAACTATAAGCTTTATCAAAAAGGAAAGTTTTAAGCCTAGTCTTAAAAGTAGACAGGGTGTCTGCCTCACTGACTTAAAACTGGTAGTTGGTTCCACAGGAGAGGAGCCTGATAACTAAAAGATCTGCCTCCCATTCTACTTTTAGAAATTCTAGGAACCACTAGTAAACCTGCAGATTGAGAGC